AAAGAAATGGAGTCTAAGGTCACAAATTCTGCTGCAGCCTGTATATGGGCGTTACATGTCCTTGTATTCTTTAGTCATTGAAAAACTCCCAGACACCAATTTTCATCCAAATATTGACGTTGCTTCATAAGTTATTTGAAAAAAATCGAAATAAAAATGAAACTTCTACACCTCGTATTTCCCAAACTAAGCATTTTAGGACATACATTTATACAAATTTTTTTACTTACTTTAATCTGCAGAATATCCTGCCAAAGTTTCCGGAATACAGTTTGGACCACCCTGCATACATAGTAATCATATTGTTTATAAAAATGTCTTTTTTTGAAATAATCCATGTTTAATTGTAATAGAGAATGTTCCCATTCAGGATCCTTTTGGGAATGAACCTTTATTATAGAGCATGTATGAGTACAACTGAGAATGTTCCCTATCAACATATTATATTCTTTATTTTTGAGTCTAAATATCATAAGCGTTTTACAAAAATAGTATTGTCTCTATAGCATTTATAATATACCAAATATTATACAAGGTGTTTCTCAAGTAACCTAAGAAAATTAGGGTATAATTCCTCATGTTAAAAAAAATTATATGAACATGCAATCTAAAGTATAGTTTGTTCAGGCATTGTTCACATTGACAAGAGGAATGAGACATTGAGGAATGTCAAAATTAAAAATCTGTTGTTACTGTCAAACAATTTTTTTACTCCAAAAATGCCCCAAAGATTTAACCAAAATCAACAAGAGCTCATTGATAAGCTTATTAATTATATTTCTGAGAAAGAGAAGCTGGTAGAACACTCTTGCCCGTATATGAAGTAAGTACAATGCCAAGGTGTAATATTCCTATGTGAAATACAAATTGATAATGTTTTTAAATAATATAGCGAGTTGCTGTAAAATGAAATAGGAATTGCAACAGTCCAAAGGATTGGAATTAAAAGGATCGTAACTGATGAAGAGTTAAAGAAAAAATGAATAAAGAAACAAAACTCGCTCATCAGTACTATAGGAATGTACTTAAAATTTTCTAAGATACCTGAACAAACAGTACTTCTTTTATTGTTTGTTGACTTCTTTGACCCTCTCTATCTTTTGTATATTTATGGTTAACTTTTTCTTGGTGTTATTGGTATATTATTAGTTTAATAAATTTTCAAGGATTTACACTATAGGTTTGTTCTCACAGCTGTAAGAAACATATTTCCAACAGATAATCATGCGCAATAGAATAAAACGCGCTCGCACAGAAATTTTTGATTGGTTTCCAACCAACAGTACGCTGTTCGCACAGAAAATTCTGATTGTTAGCTGACAGCCAGACCTGTTCGCGGATCTTTTGCAAGTAAAGTGTCCGGCGCATGTGTATTGCGACCCGACGCACAGTGGATCGACGCAATGCAATTTGCTGGACATTCAGCAATTATGCAAAATTTCTAACTTAAGACATTTTTTTGAATAAATGTGTTCTAAAATCTTCAAATTTGTTAAAAATAGTCATAACTTTATTATAGATAACTTACTGAATAGTGCAGGGGTGTTTTTCCAGAATATATATTTTATTTGAATTTCCGTATTAAATTGACTATTACAAATTAAACTGCATAATTTCATACTTATTCCAAAACTGAATGAACTTTTTATCATATTTTTATTCTATATGAATTATGACCTTGCGATTTGTCCAGTTCTTTAATACCAACATGTATTCAATAACAATAATTCCTTAATTATTGTATAGTGTATCACAAAAAATTAAATTTTAAACAAAATTTTCCATAGCGATCTTTGCTGCAATAAAACTTTGTATTCATAAGTTTAGTATAAAATAGAGAAGTCATACCCACCAACAAATAATCGGGACTCGGTGGGACTTTTTGATAATTACGAAAGAAAGATGCAAAGTATAATAAATTTCGCTGAAAAATGTATATTTTCACGGAGAATAGAGTTAAATAAACACCCAAGTGTTTCAAAATTTCTCTTAAATTATTCGTTAAAATATGGGCTAAAACTTTTGTATGGGGCACATGAATTAAGTCATTTATTTAATCCATAATTTGCTCTATAAACTTCCCATATATTAAATATTTAACAAGAAACGCATATATTGTATACCATAATATATAGCTTTGGGTGAATTTTTCAATAAAATTCGATTTTAGTTGATTAAATTATGGCCTATTTAGAAGGTATTTGAAGAAATTTGTATTAAAAGTTTAAATACGATTTTAAGTGTTATGTCCAGCATCAAACATACAATCGTTCTACTGTGCGACGTCATTAATTGGTAAACTTAACCTACAAAACGTGTGTTGTTTTTGTTTAGTGTTTTATTCTTCAAAAAATAAAGAAAAGAAATGAGCGATTTTGAATCTTCCAAAGAATCTGAGGCGTCCGAATTTTCGGATACAGACACAGGGCATAAAATAATTAACTAGAAAGAAGTGTCAACTCTGTGTTAAATCGTGGAAACACGATACGCCACCGAAAGCCTTAGTTGTCGTCTGGAGAACTAATTTTCCAATTGACAGGTTGACATGATAAGGACATGATGGCTTAATTTTCATTTCCGTTTCCGGTTATTCAATGGCGGGCCCTCCTTCAGTTCAAATGTATTTTGTATTTTTTCTTTTTCATAAATAAAACCAAAAAAAATAATTTATTCACATATATTTATTTGAAATATGGAACAACGTGACTAAATAAATATAAAATATAGAGGATTGTATTGTTTCAATACCAATTAGTTAATTATATGTACTTTTAACGTAAATTAGTTAAGGTATAAGCATGACTTACAGTAATTTGTAAATAAACACACGTATTCGCAGACTTCAAGGACAGAAAACGGACACAGGGACATGAAAACGGGAGCCTTATACAAAAACCTGAAAACAGAAAAACAAATTTTTTTTATACTAAAATTAACAATGTAAAAATATAAATAGGTATAAAATATAAATATACTGTTTAAAAAAGCGTCCATTATTCCCAAAGAGACCTGGCTTATAAATTAAAAAGAAGCAAAAAGAGACTTTTAGTCGGATAATCAGATTATCAGTCCGATTTATTGCATTATTGACAATAAATCGCACATACTGGAGATAACTAATGTTGGCAATAGTTAAAAATGATCTTACCTTGCTGTAAATTGTTTCCATTTTCAAAAAAATCGCCGATCAAAGAGATTATCACACCATTTTCTTGCATCTAAAAAATGTAAAAACAGTGTTTATTTACTACCTATTTTTCATATACATGGGACATACCTACTACTGCAGAAACGTCATTTTCTCCAGGATTCTTCATGTAATATATATTTTATATACTTTATTACCTTTATATTTATAAATTTCAGCCGAAATATTAAATTGAACTTCCAAAACGAAACTAAACGGAATGAATTAAAATGGCGTCGAATATTTTCGAATTTGTTCTAGAACAAATCTGAAGTTGTCTCTGAAACTGAAATCTGTCAATTCTAAACTGTGAAGTTAGACAATAGTTAGACAAAAACAATGCTGTCCTTGTCTAGGCGGCCATACTTGTCGTGAGGAGAATGACAGGAATGACACTAATGACTGTTTCCAATTTTCCTATTTCACTGTCACCCCCCTGACACAGGGTGCTTGTCAGATATAACACCCTCCGAATTTGGCATTTATTTATATATCAGTCGAAGCCATACACTTAAATAAGAATTTTAAGCAAAAAAATATTGCGGATGAACCACAATTTATTGAAAAATAAATAAATTAAAAGTGCATTTTTAGGTTATGGTAAAGTTGTATAAGCGTGTAATTATTGTAAAATATGACGATTATATGCATTTTTTTATTAATATAAAGGTCAGAAAAAATCATTGAGAAGCATTAATAAGTCATAAATCAAAAATAGAGTTGGTGATCTCTTTTGTAATATTTGCCTGATCGATTTACTCTTTCGATTCAAACTTGCCGCCGGAGCCGTCTGTCACCATTTGTTGTTAAGGATGTAAGCTGCGTAAGCATTGTTGCCAAAGTTATTTCTTGTTTGTATGATACATAATACCGTATGATCGAAAAAAAACGGCGTCCAGTTGGCTTGGAAATGACGATCGATGACATTCCCCATATAATTTTACATATGAAATGACAGCGATGTTCATTTCATAGCCATGGCTGACGCCGTTTTTTTTTCGATCATACGGTACGTTACATGATACAAAAAAAGAGTTGAAACCGAAAGAGTTTTGATTGCGCTGGTTTCAACCTTTTCGTGAGGGTGTTAATCTTTTGTTATGTTTTTTTTTATTTTAATACGAATCTGATTGCTTTCACTTGATTTTACGTGCCGGTCGCCGGACGAACAAATCCTTATACAGTAGCGCTGTCACGATAAGAACATATTATAAGTTATTTTAAAATCAAGACATTGAAAACACTCAGATTCAGTATTAAAATATAAAAACAACAGATTAACCCCAAAGAAGTTGAAACCAACGCAATCAAAACTCTTTCGTGCAACTTTGTAGTTATAAATAGTCTCGTAGGTAAAATATCAGCTATGGGTAGGAGCAGTTTCTCAGGCGATCGCCTTTTCTTGAATTTAAAATAATTTATAATCTGTTCTTAACGCGAGTTTTCTTCCGACCAGCACGTGTTTTTTTTAATGAACCTTTCAAGAAAAAATGAATGAATCTGGCAACGCCGACAAAATTTGGAGGAGTTTTCGCATAGAAAGTAGCCTGTTGTAGCAATAATTAGATGTTTATTTTTTCATTAAATTATGGATCATCCACACTTTTTTTTGGCTTGAAATACTTATTTCGATGTATGCTTTCGAGTGATATTAAAAAAAGTACAAAATTCGGAGGGTGTTATATCTGACAAGCACCTGACAAGAAACTGCATTATTTGAGACCTGCGTATTAACACCGGTTTGGAAGAAGTCACAAACATGTTGGGAACACGCTGTGAGAACAAACCTTATTTATGCTAATGAGGTATTTACCTTCATCTGACTCCTCTTCTTCAGCTTCTTCCTCATCAGAATCTTCTTCTACCTTGATTTTTGGAGCCAACTGTGCTTTTTGAACTTGTGCTTGCTTATTTTTCTTCAATTTAGTTTGACTTGCCTATTATTAAAAATACTCAGTTAAAATATACATTATTACAATAACGTCAAAATATACCTCAGAGTTATTAGATTTATGTGCTTTAACAGTTTCAGGACCTTCTTCAACAAGACGTTTAAGTCTGGATAAAAGAGTTAATTTTCTCTTGGCTGTTTTAGAAAGTTCTGGTCTCGAGTTGAATGTCTCAATTTTTTCTTGGAGAGTCTTTAACAGCTCAGCATCTTTCGAGCCTTGTTTTGTTTTTACCAGAGAGATTAAACCCTGAAATTGGTTCCTTCTTTTCTTCTTGTCTTTATTTGGTGAAACTGTGTTTGTTCCATTTGTTGGTTTACCTTGTTTCGTATTATTCAATTGCTTTGTACCAGCAAAAGGTACTTTCTTTGGAGAATCTGATTCTGATAGTTTTTTATTCTTTTTGTTTGATTTCTGATTAGAGGCTTGCTGATTTGGATTTCTTGGTGTAAAAGTTTTAGGAGTTGCTTTCTGGGGAGATCCTTGGTTTGGCTTTTTCGGAGTAAACGGTTTTAGAGGTGTTTTCTGTGATTTTTCTAATTTCGGCTTTTTTGATGGGGTTTCATTAGCAATGCTTTTACGTTTGTTGGGAGTTTTTACCTCTGCCTTAACCATTGTTTCTTAAATCTGTTAACAATCAACAAAAATTGCCTAAATTATTTTAAAAATGTATTTAATATAACACGTGCCGAGTACTATGTAGAATAGAATACCCTACCGGTTAAGTAATTTTATAAGAGTTATTACTATTAACACATAAAATATAACTGCTTACCTGATAATATAAGAAAAGTTAAGAACTGTTTTAATTCGATAGAAATGTACGATACAATTAAAATTGTGACCACAAAATGGCAACGTGAAATGCAACGTGCAAAGTGAAATCTCGCTAACTGCGACAAACGACGCCAAAGACGGAAAACACGCTCTTAAGAAGAACTTGGTTACTTGTTTCTCTTCTTCTTTTCTTAATATAATTTAAAAGCCCAAACTACTAAAACTATCCGGCTTGTTAATAGTGTTTTCTTCTTCTTTTTTAAATTAAATTAAAGGCTTAAGCATGGCTTAAGCTACTAGGACTATCCGCCCTTTCTTCTTCTCTTTTAAAAAATTAAATTATTTTTGCTGATCTATGGCTGTTGTTAATGGTGTGGCTGTTCTGTGGTGTGGATCTCTGTGGATCCGGTGGCTGACCTTGAAGCCCATATTTGCTGCGTTTGATCATCCATACTACGCAAGCGCACATCGTCGGTATTGCCATGTTGTTTATTTTCGAATTATTTGCAGAAGATTTGCAGTTGAAAACAATGTTTTTTTCATTGTTAATCAGTAATAATAAAAATTCTATTATAATTTCAGATTTATCTTGATATCAAAAATTATGCAAAAATTAAAGTAAGAAGGAAAATGGAGATTGTGAAGTTAAGGTATTATGATTTATGATTGTAATCGGAGTTGTAAGTAATATAATATTGTAATAATACCTATTTATTTATATATTTACATTAGAATTAAAATTATCATTTACGAATTTTTTCTTATTGATTTTAAACCTATTAGCAGAGCTATTAGAATTATTTTGCATCATCAATGTGACACATTTATTACATCCAAGTAGTTTAATTTCTAGTTGTTATTTACAGGCAACAATAGTTTTCATATATGTTATATGTATGTATTGAAGTACTATCCATAAGTAGTTTGATTATAATGTTTGTATTATAATTTCTTAAAAATAAAGATATTAAAACACAGAGCCCGCCCCATTGAGTTTAAATATCATTGATTAATATATAGCAATTGTAGGTCTATATTTTATTGAAGAATGCTGATAGGACTAAAATAAGGTTTATGCTGTACCTTTTTCTCTTTAAAAGGGATATGGTTTGTGTCGTAGAATACATTACAGTATTTAATATTCTGTACTTTGATATTCTCTTCATAATTTACTGTAAACTTCTTTCCTGTAGTGTCAAAATCTTGATAATATGGTGAAGGTTCATTTTTGATCTTATCAGATTTATACACAGACCAACTTAAGACTTAAAGTAAAGTTAGTTTGTAATTTGTATTAAGATATTTCTAAACTAAACGTTCTCCAACCCAGTGTGAGTACATATCAATGTGAAACCTCTAACGAGGGGTAGATGACTCAAAAAACTCACAATCTTTTTAGATTTTATTTCAAAATTTAATTTGTTTTAAAATAGGGCGACATGTTTCGGGACTCATTTAATTCCCATCCTCAGGCCCAGAAAGCTAAAATAATCACAATCAGAATAGTCAAAACAATTTTAATACAGTCATAAAAGGTCAGGTTATAAAATACAATCACAAACAAACTAAAAAAAATAAAAAAGTCTTTTGTTTAAAAAAGTTAAAAATTATTTTTATCACAATTATTTAATCACAGACATCTTATGGTAAGCTTAATTAGAAATTAAACAACTGAATTACAATCAGAAAGGGCAATAATAATCAATTTAGGTTTAACAAGAGGCGTAACAAAAAAAAACAATTATCAGAAAAAGTTAGGAAAATCATATCGAGGACTTTTTAGGTGAGGGGAGCCAAATAATCCATTATAGTTATTTAAAAAATGACGAGGAAGGAACGTGTAATAAGACAGTATTTCTATCATATTCTAATGTATTATTTACAGATATTTAATTATTTATGAGTTAAATGTACTATGTAGGATATATTATTTAATTTTTTTTGTTATATGTTAGAAATAAGTTCAGAATAATAATTATTTTAATTTGTATGTATAAATATTTAAATTTTTATTTTAATTATGTTAGTTAGAATAAGTTAAGAAATGGTTAAGAATAATAATTATTTTAATTTGTATACAAGGTTGTTCACCACCATAGACTTAGAATAAAGTTCACCACATACGACACGGAGTATTGTAGCTAAACGATTAGATTTTCACAAATTGTAAGTTTTGGGTTCGTTGAAGGTCAATTAGAGCTACAATTTAAAAATATTTTTACAAGATACAGAGTGTCCCAAATAAGTAAAAAATATTATAGTTATATTTTTTTAAATGGAACACCCTGTATATTATTCTATTTTTGGATTTTACGATTGAAATAAAGGTAAATTTGATTAAGGTTTATCACACTTAAACCTTACCGTTTTTGAAATATTTTCAATTTTATGAAATTGCAGTAAAAATTTTAAGGCTTTATTTCTCCCAGGGTATCAAAGTTTTTAATACTCAATATTTACTGAAGATTATTTATTGATCAGATATTGTGTTGTAATAATAAAAATTTTACTACCTTATACAGAGTGTCCAAAAATTTATATTAAATAATTACTAGCTTTAAACGGCAATAACTTGTTTAATTTAAATGGAACACTCTTTAACTTGTTTAATTTAAATGGAACACTCTAAATCAGATGCACAATGTAATTGTCTATCAAATTTTATTATACCCTTTTTTACCCATCTCTTCAAGTTTTCGTAGAAAATGCTTTTTTTTATAATTTAGGCCTCATTTATCACTATACCCATGGAATATTGACATTTCAGATTTTTTTATAGCACCATAATATGTACAAAATGTACAAGTGGTAAATATTGCAAGCCCATTGGCATACAAAATAAACTATTTAAATATTTATAAAAGAGTATACCAATTAAATATACCATCATTATTTCCTACCAAAAACACCAAAAATTAGTTAATTACATACTTATAAATTGTTTTAATTAAAACATTATTCTAAATGAATGTGGATTTGGCTCAGAAATCAATATAATAATAAGTCATAAAAATGAACGTGTGTTTTTATAAATAAACATTCGTTAATAAATGAAGTAAAATCTATAAGGTGTTGCTTTTTACCACACTGTCTAATACACACACAAAATTCAATTTTTTAGTATTTGGAGCAATTATTACTACAACGTAAACAGTCAAATAATGTAGTTTGAATACTGGGATCATATTAATCGGTCCTCTTTAACAAAAAATATTTAAACAGTTTTTTTATTTTTTAATTAAATAAGCGAACTAGATATATCGACAATATTAGTATCTGTACCCTTTGAAAATTTGTTATATCTTTAAAAATAAGCTAAAATGTCAATATTCCATGGGTATAGCGATAAATGAGGTCTAAATTATAAGAAAATGCATTTTCTATGAAAACTTGAAGAGGTGGGTAAAAAATGGAACAATACAATTTGATAGACAATTACATTGTGCATCTGATTCGCGTAAAATATATAGGGTGTTCTATTTAAATTAAACAAGTTATTGCCGTTTAAAGCTAGTAATTATTTAATATAAATTTTTGGACACTCTGTATAAGGTAGTAAAATTTTTATTATTGCAACACAATATCTGATCAATAAATAATCTTCAGTAAATATTTAGTATTAAAAACTTTGATAGCCTTGGAGAAATAAAGCCTTAAATGTTTTACTGCAATTTCATAAAATTGAAAATATTTCAAAAACGGTAAGGTCTAGGTGTGATAAACCTTAATCAAATTTACCTTTATTTCAATCGTAGAATCTAAAAATAGAATAATATACAGGGTATTCTATTTAAAAAAATACAACTATAATATTTTTTACTTATTTGGGACACTCTGTATCTTGTAAAAATATTTTTAAATTGTAGCTCTAATAGTCCTTCAACGAACCCAAAACTTACAATTTGTAATAATCTAATCGTTTAGTTACAATACTCCGGTGTCGTATGTGGTGAACAACCCTGTATATAGATATTTAAATTTTTATTTTAATTATGTTAGTTAGAATAAGTTAAGCATAATAATTATTTTAATTTGTGATTGTCAAAATTCAATGAATTTTAACAATCCAATTGGTTTTATTTTTTCGAGTGGTTTGGCCTCCTGGTGTGACTTTTGTGTGAGTATGCCCTAACTTTAAAAAACATAATTAAAATAAAAATTAAATATCTAAATACACAAATTAAAATAATTATTATTCTTAACTTATTCTAACTAACATAACAAAAAAAAATATATCCTACATAGTACATTTAACTAATAAATAATTGAATATCTGTAAAATACATTAGAATATGATATAAATACTGTCTTATTACACGTTTCTTCCCCGTCATTTAAATAACTATAACGGATTATTTGGCTCCCCTCACCTAAAAAGTTCTCGATATGATTTTCCTAACTTTTTCTGATAATTGTTTTTATTTGGTTACGCCTCTTGTTAAACCTAAATTGATTATTATTGCCCTTTCTGATTGTAATTCAGCTGTTTAATTTCTAATTAAAGCTTACCATAAGATGTCTGTGATTAAATAATTGCAATTAAAATTATTTTTAACTTTTTTAAACAAAAAACTTTTTTAACTTTTTAATTTGTTTGTGATTGTATTTTATAACCTGACCTTTTATGACTGTATTAAAATTGTTTTGACTATTCTGATTGTGGTTATTTTAGCTTTCTGGGCCTGAGGATGGGAATTAAAAGAGTCCCGAAACATGTCGCCCTATTTTAAATCAAATTAAATTTTGAAATAAAATCTTAAAAGATTGTGAGTTTTTTGAGTCCCCTACCCCTCGTTAGAGGTTTCACATTAAGATATTTCTTATAATTTTTTTATGTCTAAATACCTACTACATATTATGCTTTGTGGTGTAGAGAATAAATATACTTGCAAATCTTTCCATTAGGAAATATATTGTTTATAAATCATATATTATGCTAAGAAATCACATGAATTAGGTGTATGAATAGAAAAATCTTAAGGTAACGGAAAAATTAATACAATATATATGTATAAGCAGAATTAAACAAAAGGTACCTATTAATATTGCTGACTCTACAGTTATAATTATGGAAGCCTTTTTATAAGGCCTTGGGAATGTTATAAAACCTATTATCACAGAATATATTCTGTGCTATTATGAACATGATATGGAGCTACAGCATTTAAAAATTTAAAAA